CATGTCTCCTCTGACTCTCTTCTGCTTCCTTTTTCCAATTTTTAAGGACTCTTTGATTACATTGGGCCCACCCAGATAATTCAGAGTAAAAAAAAAAGTCCCTATCTTAAGGTCAGCTAATCAGCAACCCTAATTCCATCCGCAATCTTATTTTCGCTTTGCAATGTAAACTAACGGAGTCACAAATTAAAGCATCTTTGTGGGGAGGGCACTTTTCCTCTTACCACACCTGGTAATCAGGAAGCAGATTGCTTTGAGTAAAAAATTTCTGAGGAGTAGAACTCAGAAAATTCCACAGATTTCCTATGGGGTTAAGTACAGAGAGTTCATATCAAGATCCTTTCTGAGTTTTTAGTTTTCAATTTCATTCTCTTATAAAAAGGGTTTCTTATTTCTTTTTTTACCTTCATTGTTTTCTTCCTTCCATCTCCATTTCCTTTCTTCTTTCCTTCCTTGCTTTTTTTACATTTTTCTTTCACCTTTACTTTGTCTTTATTTCTACCTTTCCTCATTGTTTTTGTTGTAAAAGAATAATATCATAAAGACAAATGGCAAATGAAAAAACTATGTGCAACATATATTTGAAATAATTAATAACATTAATGTAAAAAGAGCTCTTACAAATTAATAAAAAGACTGTCTGAAATGTGGAAGTGGATCTTCACCAGAATCCAATCATGCTGATATCCTCATCTCAGACTTCCAGCCTCCGGAACTGTGGTAAATAAATGTCTTGGTTTATAGGACACCAAGCCTATGGTACTCTGTATAATAGCAGCTCAAAGGATTAAGCCAGGCCACTTAAAGCAGGTGTTGGTGTTCATAGTTTTCATTCTGTGAATTGTGAGCCCTGAAGTTATTCAGTCCATGACAGTCACCCATAGTGCTGCAAATGCAATGGCCAATTTGACAATTACTACCAAAAGCATCTCGGTTTTGTATGCATTTTGAAAAAGCAATTCCACTATTAGAAAAGCATTCTAAAAAATGAATGTGTGTCAGTATTTATCTATTTATTTATCTATATGTTATTTATAAACAAATAGAGAATACTTTCCAATAATAATTCCACAATCCAATGGTATGGTTTTCAATGAGTCCATTAAAATTATGTAATGGAAGTTTTATAATGAAAGAAAAATATGCTCATAAAGCATGGTGATACACACAAGTTATAAGACTACATTTCTGGTTATTAGCATTTTCTATTTTAAAACACCTGAAGGATAAACAACAAAATCTAATTCATTTTTGGACTGTAGGGTAGGAGATGGTTTATATTTTCTTCTTTTTGATTATGGTCTTTTTTTTTTACTACAAATCAGTACTACTTTGATAATAAAAAGTTATATATATTTTTATACATACTTATAAATATATATATATATATTTAAAAAGATAACCCCCAAATTGAAATACTTCCTTTTAAAATTGTAATAAAAAAGTAAACAGGAGTATTTTAAAATTTATGGTGGTTTGTCTACATACCTCTGTGAATATTCATTTACATTGTTATTCATTCTATTTGAAATTGGCCCACTACTATGTTTGCACATGACAAAACTGAAGCAGAGTCACAGTTCTAAGGCGGTTTTAACAACGATAGAAACTGTTTCTTGTGATGACAAACCCAGTGGTTTCTCCTCTACTCGTAGACATTTTGACTATGTAATGAGCTCTACATGAGTCATTTGTTACTTATTTCAAATCTTAACCACCCTTGTCAGCCTTGCAACGTATATTTGAAATAATTAATAACATTAATGTAAAAAGAGCTCTTACAAATTAATAAAAAAACTGTCTGAAATGTGGAAGTGGATCTTCACCAGAACCCAATCATGCTGATATCCTCATCTCAGACTTCCAGCCTCCGGAACCGTGGTAAATAAATGTCTGTAGTTTATAGGACACCAAGCCTATGGTACTCTGTAATAGCAGCCTTCAAGCTTTGTCTTCTTATCACTGTGTTGACAAGGTAAGAGGAAAGAAAACCTTAGCAGATCACTGCATCTTGTGCTTCATTATTGTCTTTGGAAAAAATGATGACTGGGGAGTAGATAAGAAGGTGAAAAAAATAGAATATGTGGACATGCCATATGGCAGGAAGCACACTAGCTTTTCAGAAGCTCTAACACTATTACTGCAAATAAGTAATATATGGGGGTTTTTTTGCATAAAGTCTAGCTTTAAACAATTGTTCCTGTTTTCAGGATAACTATGGGAGGAAGCATTGTGCAGTGGAAAGAATTTCCACTTTCTCAATGTGCATCTTCAGAGTTGAACCCATCCTTTTTTGAAGGTGCTCTGAGGAAATTAACCTGTTATCACTTGAGTAATGACAGATGTCATTGTTGATTTTAAAATATAACTCCATTGCTCCCTAGCTGTATACCTTATTATTCGCAAGTATGCATCATCTTCTATACCTAAAAGAGTCGGGTTAATAAGGTGCCCTCTTTCCCAGATTTATCATGAATATAAAGTGATTTAATCCACATATCTAGCAAATAGAAATCAATTATAAATGTTAGCTATTATTCCTATCACTAATATTAGGTAATGGTTATGCATATGTTATATCTTTAATATGACCTTTTCTAGCCTACCTTGTATTGTTTTCTCATACATTTTGTTTCAGATCCCTATTTGTGAAATTTAAAGATATGTGATTACCTGCTCATACAGAGATTTGGCCTACCATTAAAAATGGCATTTCCGCCCTTAAACTATTATCATTATTGCATTGGAAAGGGTTAAGAACACTGGTTACAGATACTCTGAATAAGTCAGTCTAGGGAGAATATATGGCAAGTCAGAAAAATTATATTCTAATCAAAGATAGCATAGTTATGAACTAACCATAAATTTAAATTATGGACAGATAATGGAGATCATCTATATTAGCAGTCACATATTCCATTAGAGGTTACCTTTATTTCATATTGTGTAATTAGAATTTAGAAATTACTGTTGCCTCAGCATTACAGAAATATTCAACAATTTTGGAGGATTCGACATTTAATTTAAAATGCACTTACTATTATAAATATGCACTGGAAATAGTTTCATGAACATGCCATGGTTCAAAGCATTGATGTGAAACTGAAGATGATGTTGTTATTTCACTGGCTCAATTATTAAAACACATTTTGGATTTATTTAGGATAGTAATTTTTCAAACAATCATTTATTTGCACAGTTACTAACACATTCTAAACCACTAAAACTGTCTCATTTCTAAAAATTGTAGTATTATCTGGGGCTTAGCATCATTAGAAGTACCTGCTAATGGAGAGATTTGTTTTAATATCAATGGATTATACTTCACACAACTATTTTTTATCTTATGTTAGAATGAAATCAAGTTTTCACCTTAGAAGACAAAAATGAAAATTGTCATCATTTCTAAACATCTCAATGAGTCCAAAATTTCTAGAATCTTATAAAATATGCTGTGATATTGATAAGACATGAATATTTACACCACACACAGTGACAAGTCACATCATTTACATAAATAAACTTTTAAAGACCATTTAAAAATGCAGAAATGCAGGCATAATCAGCTCACTGCAGTTACACATAAAGAAAAAGGATAAAACAAGAAGACTAAATTAGAAAAAATAGCCATTAGGTTATGGGACAAAGAATTTATTAAATTCTACTCATAGCAACAGCTATCTATTATGTAGTTATTAAGTTATTTATTATAATGTAAAACATCTAGTTGTGTATAAAATAAAGAAAGCTAAAAAAGAAAAAAGAAAAAAAGAGGAAGAGAAGAAGAAAGAAAAGGCGGGACTAATATCCCAATCACAATCCTCTTCTTCATCACAGGAAAGTCTTTCTGAATTTACTTCTGTAATCAGATTATGTTATGATTAGGGAAATACTGTAATTAATGTCCCAAATTAAATATACTTAACAGATTTACCTTGCAATTAGAGAAAAGGACTTCAGATTTCCCAGAAGGACTTTGTCCACTTTGAACATCAGCACAGAGTTGAACATCTGCAGCAGTTATCCCCTCTGAGCTGCAGGCAGGTGTCCTCTCTATTGTGTGGCTCTGCTAGATGGCTTGAGGGTGAATGTGTGCCAGCATCCTTCACTCACTCTTTCCTACCTCTTACCAATGACATGAAAAGCCACTTCAAATAGACATGACAACTTTAAAAGAAAGGCTTCTGAAGGACAAGCACCATCAATGCTCACAGTAGCCTGAAATGTCCTGGAAGCCATTTTTACTGTGGCTGAGGAAAGCATTTTGGGTACCGTAACTTTCTTTAATGGCAATGTAAAAATAATAAGGCATTAAACAAGCCCCAGTCTTCATGGGCTGGAAGAGAGACAATGAGGAGAAATGTACAAATTAACCATATCCAAATAATGGCACTTTCAATCAATGTACAGCCATCACTCAAGGTTTTAATAATAGCCCTGAGTTTCCACTGGCAAGCTCAAATATAAGCATGAAATAAGATGAAGACTACCTTTCTCAGATTACCCTAGACAGTGCTGCTATCTTCACTGCAGTTGAGGGGAATAGGGTTGTAAGGCAGGACATTTAAATTATAGCTACAAACATAAATGGGCTTCTCAAAATTTCCATCAAGGGTGTTAACATGGTGGATGTAGTCACAGATATGGACAACTTATAAGTGTGAAGAAGAAATCACACAACAAGCAACTTAGGACAAGAAGAAGAGCCCTTAGAAGTTATTTTGCCAAGTATTTCACTTTTGATGTGAGGAACTGATACTTAAGAGATTAACTGATGTCCCCAAGACAACATAATGACATCATAGGACAGAAAGATGTAGAGCCTAGATTTCTGTCATTATCTTGACTTCTTAATAACTATGGTACAAGTTGCACATGGTGACTGGTGCATGGAGAACACATTTGTTACAGCCTTTACGATGCAAAATGAAATACAAATATAAGTGATGCCTCCACTTCTTCAATCCCCAATTCCAAAGGAAAGAAATTGCTTTACTCACCTATGGGGAAAAACTCGCTCATTTTCTTTTTGTAGATTTTGAAGTCGACTTCTAGGAAGACACAGAAGACAATTCGATCCACCTAGAGGCAAATGATAAACACTCAAAGTAAAAAGAAATATGGTGACTGCCTTTTCAAAACATAGTTTGGAACAAAAATCAAATGGGAAAGCCTCCTAGGGATTCTTGGTGCTGTACTACTAACAACATGACAGCATTGAGTGAAGTTTAAGTGTGTGTGTGTGTGTGTGTGTGTGTGTGTGTGTGTGTACTTTTTATGTAAATAACCTATGGGCTGTTTGGTGAGAAAATGTTATATAAATCAAATAAGAAATAATAAATGACAATAAGCCACTTTGTAGTGAGCTATAAATAAGATCTGAGATTTTGACAAGATAGCTAGACTTTATGTCTTATAAACCAGCCACATGAGAGTATGCACCAGAATGACAATAAAGTATGTCAGTAAGCAAAGCTCCTTGTCCTACCCTTGTTAAACAAATATATTTATCAAACCAGATATATTTGAATATAGCTTAAAAAGCTTCTTACGGTTTAATTTGCATGAAGCCACTTGCTCATTATTTAATGTACTCAGAAATGCAACAGAAATGAAATAAAATTAATTGAGTTAGATGAGGCCAATATAAATTTAATCTGGTAAATATTATGGATTAAATGCCACCCCAAAAGTAAAATGCGTACAGTCCCTTTTTCTGCTCTGAGAGAGCTCCTGCATGTAAGGAGTTTCTCTGAGACATTCAGAGTAAGTAGAGAAAAGAGATGGAGTATGGCTAATAGTTCACATATATCTGATATTGAATCAGTGACTCAATTTTGTGCCTTGAAATAAATATCTCATTTATTTCCTTTATTATAACAATGTACAATAAGTTAAAAATTACTCAATCTATCAAACTACAACTGGTAATTGAACAGAATGTCAAGTGTGGCATCTCTCATGACAATAAGGAATGGAAGTGGAACGTGCACATGGCAGGTCATGAAAGAACCCAAATGGATATCATCTACTCAGACCCTGGGCTCTCCCAGCCTGTAGGGTACAGATTCATGCTAGTAAGTCCAAAATTTCCAATAAGGGAGAAGATCTACAGGGGTGGGAGGGGGAGGGAGGGCAAGGATAGAAGAAATCACCAGGGTCCCCTGATGGAAGCTCAGAGATGTGGCTCCCTGATCCCAAGTCTGGATCAGAGACTAGAAACACTGACTCCTGGACACTCACTGGACTTGTGTGACATTCTCACCACAGTGCATGCAGCCCCAATAACTGCCCACATGGGATGGATATGAGAAAGCACCTGGCCTTCCAATATGGAAGTGTCCATAATTTCTTTTCCCTGCATTCACTTGAGTTTCTGGTGTCCAGTCCTACATATATATCATTAATATTTTCTTCAAATGCAGAAACTGAACATCAACTTTTTCTCTAGGTGAACTATAGATTTAGTTGCATAAATGATTAACTATCTGTGCAATACTAAATGCCAGTCTCTACCCTCCTTATAGTATATTTATGCTCTGTGGCTAAAGATAAAAATCATAATGTTGAACAATAGAAATGAGTTCCAGAAGGATATATACTCTGTGATAACATTCATATAAGTTGTTAAATCACAAAGATAAAATGGGTAGGGACTCACTCATACACATGAATATACAGAACCATAAATAGGAATGTCACACATGAACTTTAGGATGACAATGATTTCTGGAGATGGGGTGCAGGTAGAGGGGTAGATAAGTAAGACCTTAACTGAATAGTTAATATTTATTTAGAAGAGAAAGAGATTTCAGAAAAATATTACAAATGGGTAATAGCTATTAATCATGGGGTTAATTACATGGTTGTTGTATCACTTTCTATGCTTTTTTTGTATATTTGAAATACTTCATAATTAAAACTTCTAACACTAAAAATAAGACTTGTATTAGACAAAACTCTACTCTCCAGCTGCACTGAACTACTTGTAGTTTCCAAACATCGTAATTATTCTCATTTTTTTTATCTATGATGGTAGATTTTTTTCTCCATCAAATGGTTTCAAATGGTCAGATTATTTCTAAAACCACCTGAATAAGATCAAAATCAAAACAAGAAAATTTGACTCAAGGCAGATCTAAGAAGACCAAACTAGACAATCTCATTCATACTCATTCCCCCTATTTTTATAGTCACTTAGTATAAATTTTAGAATTTTTTCAACACCCATTTAGCCTGTATGTTTGTTCACTTGTGTGCATTGTGAGTGTGTTTGTGTGAAGGGTTAGTGGTAATGCTATTTATTGCTATTAAGTGTACTTTTAAACAACACATAGACTAAATATAGATTTTTTAAATATCACAAAGAATTATAATCCACTTTCATCATTTTTGGCTTTGTTACCATGGAAATAGTATGGTTCCAAAATTCAACAGCCTGATTTATTTTCCCAGAGAGAAGGTGAATGATGAGGAAAGAAGTATTTCTGATTTAAACTGATTGAGTGACCCGATTCCTTACTGTTGCTTTCAGGAATACCACTGAAAATCACTTGGAAGCAAGATGACTACAAGAATTAACTTTATTTACCAAGTACTTATTATGTATGCATTGAGCGTGTATTTATATATGTGTGAATAAACATATTTTCTTGGTCAAGAACTCATTATTATTACGAGCTCTGTGTCCATAGACTCATCACGGGTATTGATCAGCGCTTGTGGTAGATTGTATTTTCTAAGATGGTGTGCAGCAGGATACCTGGTTCCTCAGGCTCCTCTTAAAATATAATGCTAATACTCCTCTCATTGAGAGGTGGGGTCTTTATTTCCTCCTCTTGAATCTGGGAGTGTCTATAGCTCTGGCAGAAATGATATGTAACTTCTGATGATACGGTCATGAAAGATGATATGGATTTTGCCTGGGCCTCTCTGAAGGCTCACTCTTGTACCCAATCATCATGCCAAGAGGAAGCAGAGAAACCACCTGAAGAATCTATGTGTAGAAGTTCTAGCCAATAGCCCTAGCTGAAAGTGAGTAGCCTCTAGATGATTTCAGCTCCTGGCTTTTGAGCTACCCCAAATGATGCCACATGGAGCAGAGATAAGTGGTTCTTGCTGAACACTGTCCAAATTACAGATTTGTGAGCAAAACATAAAAAAATACATTCCTAGAAATCTAGTATTCTCTTAGCTTCTTCCTATTGTGAGTTTTTTGTATTCTTTCTGTTTTAGCTATGTGACACTGGGCTCCTCCTGAAAAGTTCAGACTGAATGAATCAAGTAGAAGCTACAGTGGGGTGACAAAAATATATAAAAAGTCTAATTGCTACATGACCAAGAAACTGGAAATCTGATGTGTGAACTGGAGGAGAGACACAGTTGGTCCGTTCTAGTCCCAGATAAATTTCAGGAGAATACATATGAACGCCTAATAATTAGAGCTCAGGAGCATGGTTTTAATTTATCTTTTATGTTAGACACTAGAACAATTTTACAAAATGGTCATTACTAAGAGATCATGTTTATCCATTTATTCATTAGATATTAACTGAGCACCTTCAATTTGTTGAGCTTAGCTCATGTGTCATTCTTTCACAAGAAAACTTGAATCCAGAATTGAGTGATTATTTTCCCAAGGCCAAAAAATTAATTAGTGACAGAATTTCAGGCATCTTAACTTTACATCCAGTATTCCTCTGTGACATCCTCCAGATCAACACACAGGGAACTGAGTTTCTACACCTGTCACCGATTCTATGACACTGGATAAGCCATCATCCTTGTAGGCTCCAGTTTTATGCTGTTATAAAGAAAGAATTGAATTGTATCCTCTTTTTAATGTTTTTTTTCAGTCTCTGTTATAGTTTATCTCTGCAGTAGTTTTGTAGTCCATCAATTTAGGTAATCTGAAATTACATTTCCTTTAATGGTTCTGGTTAGAGTAGGCAACATAGAAATTTCCATGCAATTTGGAGGTCAAAAGTGCAGCTGCAATTATTGCACTGGCAGGTAGGTGCAGGGCATCAGGCTCTGGGCTGGTTGTGCAGTGTTGCTCATCAGCTGGCCCACAGCTTCTGTGGCTCCTGATTCTCCTGCCTCAGTTGTCTGAGTTCCTGGCTTGGGCACACAGGCAGTTCTGCTGCAAGGGCTCTCGCTTTTCTTTGCAGGGCATTGCAATTTAGGGGTTCCATGCACTGAGAGACAGATGCATGTGGCAGTTCATCCCTGTGGGTTCCAGTTTGCCCTCATATCTTCTACATTGTCCTTGTTCTTCTCAATTTTGCACCCATCTTTCCCCTTGACCATCTCTTAACCTGCCCTTTGACTACCTGCCCTGCTGACACACTCCAGGCCTGGTCAGGTGCAGAGGCAATGACCTTCTGTAGACTTCTTTGCCAGCTCCCTCTCATGGATCCTGGTTAGGAGTTTTGCTCAGCTCCACCACCCATCCTTCTGGACATTTACTTCCCCATTTTCTCCTTCAGTTGTATACAATCTAATCCTTACGACAAATCCTTTATTCCATATCACCCACAAGGTTCAACTTCCCTTATTAAACTCCAAGTGACACAATCTTTAATGCCATATCATTGAAGATCATGTAAAGGAACACAGTGAAGGGCAGAAAATAAGTGTTCCTTTTTGGAGGTGTGTATCCTGTCAACGCTACTCAAATTCTAATTGTTCCCTTCAAGATAAGCTTTTGGTGGTCTTAGGGCATCTTCTTGGTGAACTTCCTAAAGTATGCATCCAATCTTTCCTAGTTAAAGCAACTTTGTGTACCTAAAATTACTCACACTTATTTTTTAATGGACAAGTTACCAGTAAACTCAAATGGGCCCACAGGCTGAAACATAATTGCAAATAATGCAAAAGTTAACATTAATGTTTTTAGGAATTAACTGTAGTCATTATATCTTAAACTAGAACCATATGAAGAATTGAGTGGTGCTTGTCATAACCTCCAGTGCATAGTGTAGGTCCCAACAGATAATATGAGCTCTGTAAATATTTGCAGAGTATTAGTTAAGGCAAACAGACTTGACTAAAATGTAAGTATATTGGAGATATTTTTCAAG